GTGGACCAGCCCAGGACAGACGATGCCTTGGTTCCAGCCCAGGGTCTCCACACCCCTTGCGCGGATGCCGTATGAATGCGGAAGGAAAGGAACAAGCGTCGCTAAGCTGTGACTCCACCTGTGCACGTTGTAAGTATTTCTGTGCGGGTCATAACTTACAGTAAGGCTTACAGAAAACTTGCAACCATTTGGGCTTCATAAGTTCGGCAGCTTCGACGTCTGCGTTGAGGCATTCTTGTTCCAAGCGCTTCCTGCAGTGGGAACTTGCAAGAGTGGGTCAGCCCTATACAGCAGGATGCCCACAAATTAGTTAAATCATAACACCCGGCCCCATTTCATGAGGAGCACCTTCTCTTGTGGAAGCCCCTATCATGGTAGCTTAAGACCACAAATGGGCTGTTCTCTAAATTCTTGTCCCTTGTATAGGATCCTTTTTATGCGGGTGCCGTACTATGCAGGTCCCCTACTTTGGAGAACTTCCTAAGTCCAAACCGTGCACCCCAAAGCAAGGTCGTCCGAGTCCCCTGTCGGCCAGGGTCCCCTGCGAAAGCGGCTCCCAGAAGAAGCCGGCCGCCATTCTTGTGCACGAAACGGACCTAAGGGTTTATAGGTTTCGACTCTCACGCTCGCACGCAGCAGGCAAGGCTCCTCATAGTTCAATCTCTGAGAAACTGACTAGCCCCCGCAAAGTTTCAAGGTTTAGGGGTTTCGGCGCTCACACTTCGGACTGTGTAACGGTTCGAGGTCCGCTGAGAAGTGAAACTGCTGGTGTAGGGTTAAGGGGCTTAGGAAACCTGAGAGTCTGGCTAGGCTTCGGTATGCTTGGCCAAACCCGAAACCCTAAAGGGCCTAGGGCTTAAGGGACCTGGCAACGTACACGGCTTAGGCACTTGCATTCCGAAGGAGACAAATACCTCTTTATCTTTTGGGTTGTCCCAGTCCTCTGCTCCACGGTGGGCTTAGAGGCTTAGGGTTTAAGCTCTCGATCAGACTCCACCGGATGAGCTTCTTGCTTTGATTCAGGGGTGGCTTTGAGGGGTGAAACTGCTCTCGATCGCCATCCATGAAGGTTCGCGATTCCATCAGTTGGTCAATCGAACTCTTTGACATCTGAACACCGGGAAGCCCAGATCTTGACCAACTTCACCTTCTCCCACCTCGCCACCATTGCCGCTGTCCGCTACTGTTGATGTAGGGGTGTACATATATCAAGGCCGGATCCTACGGCTGCCTTTCTTTTCGAGAGAACCGAGTTTGGCGGAGTCGCTACATTGATCGGACAAATCTACATGGAAAGAAGCGGCAAGGTGCAACTCTCGACAAAGCCTGCTCGTCGGCCAACGAAAAGGCTGTCTTTTTACATCCCAGTCTACTATGAATCAACTCCAATGTCGAGCCCCGCACCGACTTCGACCCTTTCATCATGCCGACGTGGGGATCCTTAGAACATTGCGAAGGGTTCTTCGGATTCTGGTCTACTGCATAGAGGCGAAAGAGCTTGTAGTCACGATGTCGCTGGTTCAAACTAGGAGTGCTTGAATGTTGCTGCCGGTATCCAACATGGAATGGGCCTGTATGCACCAGACTGATAAATATACGGGTAGCAAGATAGTTAGATGGAGAGATGGACATAGGTACATAGATAGATAGAGAGAGAAAGAGAGAGAAGATTAGATTAGATTAGATCAGGTTAGGTTAGATTAGAGTAGATTGGATTAGAGAAGAGTAGAGTAGGTTGGATTAGATTAGACTAGATTAGATTAGACCGATCAGATAGATAGATGGATAGGATAGATAGATAGATAGGTATATAGATAGGTATATAGATAGATAGACAGACAGACAGAGGAAATCCACAACAAGCTAGCTGGCGATAGATGCGTAGATCGACAGGTAATTAGACAAACACACAGCAAAACCGTAAAACCCTCTAAATCCCCTCGCGCTGGTAGGATGGCCCGAGGCTTCTGCCAAGAGCCCAGTGCCTGCCACCGCCATGCCGAAGGTGGTAAGGAGGCAGACCAGGCCTGGCTTCTGCAAGACGAACTCCATGGCATCACTGCTAATGTAGGGGCCTCAATGATTAGAATAGGGTTTTGGGGCCCATTATACTATAAGTATAATAAGGAACCCCCAAAACCCTATTCTAATTATTAAGGCCCCTACATTACATTGACACGGATCCTAGAAGAAACGCCATCACATCCGTCCGGAGGCGTGAAGACGGCCTGAGAGCCCATGCCACGTCGTGATGTGCGGCTTGCCCATGGCCTGATGGTTCGGGACTTAAGCAATTCTGAGAGTGTTTGGGAACGTTCAACTCCAAAGTGGGGTGTCAAGTTCGGCTGTGCCAGAACAGAAGCACGGATGCACGGTTTGATGGCGCCGACGCTAGAAACCCGAATGGTGCAACACATCCTCGTCTCTTATCCGTAGATGACGAAACAATATAAGCCACCCCTTTGGGTCCGACTGAAATTGAGCCCGCTGCCTCCTTGTTGGAATGAATGACATACCATCCTCGGCACCCCACATGCAGGGTGTATGGCTTGGGATCTGCTGCGGAGCATTCGAACCCTCAGCCACTCGTATAAACATGGGTTGCCATGTTGCAGATTCACCGCGAATGCGAATCTGGACGGGGCTCTCGACATGCTACGGCAGAATAAAAGGCTAGAGCTATTGATGGTAATTAGTAGAGACTCCAGCGAGGATCGAAAGCCGAATAGCACAAGCCAAGTCGCCACCCAGGAAAGTCACATCAGCCCCCATATTGCAACATGATGCCGCTGAAACTAAACGAAATAAGGCATTTAAGGGATCCGCGCATCAACATGAGGGTCCAAAACTAAACCCTCAGCCAAATCTGTCGAGTTCTGCCCCAGCACTCTGTCAACTCAGCCCTGGGGGCTGCACGGCAAGGGCCGGCAGACTCCATAAACCTCAAACACATACTTCTCCGAAGTCATGCAAGAACGTGAATGGGCTGCACTGAGAACCCCAGTAACCAGCAACCCACACCAAAAAGCCCACACCTTGGGTACACAGGCCGCTACGCCCTCGAACAGAAATCGTTAAATATGACAGCCCAACTGCAGGGAACAAGTGCGAAACAGCTATGGCCTATAGACCCTAAAGAGATCTAAAAATCTCAACCCGTATCGGTTAAAAGGGCTGAACCGGCCAATCCCAAGTGGTTTATTCTCGAGGCCCAAGCCGAAGCCGACAACCAGGCTGCCGATGCCCATGAGGTAGCCGTGGATTTTCGTCGCTCTAAGGCCTTAAGAGCACGGATGGATTCGGATTCTTCCTTCCGAGAGTCCGCGCTTACTGCAACATTGCACCGCAGTCGAACGCATCACGATTTCCAGTATTCGACCCTCACTCTCGCACAAGGCCGTCACGCTAGAGAAGCCCCAGGGCATGCAAAGTAACACCGGAACCAATCAAAGCCATTAAACCACCATACAGCCCCTAGCCCACGCGGCTTCTCGGAGGCATTGCTCCGTCCTGCCCAGCAGGTCAGTCTCCTCAACGACGCTCCCTACTCGCCCAGTAGCTGTTGCACGTACCAAAACAAATTCAAAACGTAATTTTCACCGGGTCCTCTGTCGATCCTTATACTACCAGGATTCTCCAAGGTGTTGCTTCCTGTCATCTCCCAGTGCTAAGCCTCAGGTAGAGCGTCGGGGTGCTTCAGAATCTCTGGAGCTGTGTGGCGACTTGCCAAATTCTGCCCACGACCGCAGGTATTATCACTACCTTCGGCCATGAACTGAGCTGCAACCTTGTTCCGGTCCAATGACCAAGTTGCAACAACCTGCAACTTCTAGGGTCAAAACACGCGCAGAACCGCAAGAATCTCTTTAGAACGCGGCTTCCAAACCTTCCCGCTCGTCCACTAGGCATAATCTCAGGGTTCATCTGCGCTTTGTTCGTGCCTAAACTTCATAAATACAACACACTCGCCCGGCACATGTTTCGCAAACAGCAAGCACTGAAAATGGAAGCTTCCAGACATTAAGGGTTCCACATTGGGGGTCCCCCTGTTTGTGGAAACTCCCCTTTTGTCATCATATACTTCTTGTACAGAAATTTTAAGTTTCATGAAACCACTGCGCTTTGCCTTGGCTTTGGTGAACCCACCCTGCGTAAACTCATGAAGGAATGATGATATCCTTGCTGCGATGAGCATTGGGCACGAGAGTTCATCTCCTTGATGTTTGCGGAAAAAAGGCGACAGTTGGTCTGCTAGTCTGAAGAGGATCAGCCAAAGTGGGTGCTTGAGCTTGCAGGTTCGTCTACAACGGTCCTGCATGCCAAAGCAGGCGGAGGGAGTCAATGGCGTGTTGCGCCAGATCTTCGATCCAAACGATGGCGTTCCTTCAAAAGGTGATGCCGTCTTGCACCCAAAACTTGGACGGGCCTGCTCAAGCAAAGGCGTCGAGTCAAGCTTCTGCCTGGGCCTTCCGAGCTATTTCAACGCTTACCGGCAGCTGAGACTTACACGCACCACGCTGCAGCATAAACCTAGTTTGCGCTTGAAGGCTCAGGGCTAAAAGAACGTCAGCGCACGACGAAGTTTCCCAAAAATTGCGATCGCTTGCACAACTGGTGGGGCCCCGGTTACTACTGTGCAAGAAGGGCAGATGAGGTGTGCATCAGGGTTCCCAGTGAAAGGTAGTCGCGGTCACGCATGATCTACTCCGTTTAAGGACCCCAGCCAATCAAGGCTCCGTATACATGTCAGCATGGATCAGCCAAAGGGTATGCTTTGGTTGGCAGGTTCAATTTCCAACTGACCTGCGATCCAAGACATGCAAAGGGAGGTCTTAATGGCGTGTTGCACCAGATCTTCGATCCCAAAGATAATCTTTTAATCTGACCGGCTCTGATGGGCTTCTCTATGAATCTGAAAAGTAAACTTGAGCACTGCCTCCTACTACGTCTACGTTTCGCAGAGTCGGCCGTGAATGAGAAATTCCTTCCGCACGCGATACCTGAATGTATCAAGCATCTTTTGCAGAAATTCCTCCTTGGTAAAGCCCAGCTCATGCACTTCGGTGCTATGCCCGATGCTCTGGCAAAGGTATAAGCATGTAGCAGGACAGAGATCGTGTTGAAAGGCGAATTCCTTGAGAGTCACTCGCCCTGAGCTTGCGGCAGTAGGAGTCATCATGTCAAAAGCATGGTTCCACAAGCTCCACTGTCGCTGTGTGACAGCAGGCTTGATGAAGCTTGGCCTTCTCGTGACACCATTGCCGCTGGCGAATAAGCTCTCCATCTGCGCGAGAGTCTCCTCGAGCTGCCTTGTTTGGAGGCGCAAGAAGTCGCCTACGACCTCATCCAGCTCTGGTTTGCTCTCGTTGGGTCGCGCCTCTATGCCACACTTGGCCGCGATGTAGTCCTCCTTGGTCATGTTGTCTCTGCCCTGTAGCCCCTCTAGGATAGGGTCTTGCACGACCTCCTCATCCTCGACATCGCCACTTGCAAGGGCCTTCTTCCCCAACACCTCGAACTGCTCCTCCAGCTTCTGGCGCTGTGCTGCACGTAGAGGCCAGCGAGAGATGTAATTTTGGAAACGATTCTGCTCACTTCGGGAGGTCGCGACTTGCTTCTTGAGCTGCTCAATTTCATCCAACTCTTGAAGCCATGAGGAGAACATGCGGTGGTGTCGGGGTTGTGCATGCGGCATGGCCTTCTTCAAAAAAGCCAGGAATGTCACGCCTTTCCTGCTTTGTGGCATAGACTCCAATTGCTCCAAGCCCAGTGCTGCGAAGTTGCACCAGAGGTCAGGATGAATTGATGTTTCGAGTGCCCGCTCTGCTTCTCCGTGGGAGATCGCAAAGTAGGAGTCCTTCTGGCACAAGTCAAAGATTCTTCGCAGCGGCTCAATCTGGTGCCGTTTGATGAAGCTCATGTCCAAGGAACTTTCCGTCTCCACCGGAGGCGCTACGCGTCTCTTGTGAGTGATCTTGAACTTTTTGTCCTCGACCTCGAACTTCTCGGGGTCCTCATTAAAGCCTCCCAAAGAATAGCGCTCTAGCAGGAGTGCGAAGGGCACTGCAAATGGATCGCCTGACTCTCCGAGGAACCATTCCTCCAACAGACTGAATGGCATGGAGTCGGAGGATTTAATCATCTTCGCCTCCAGAGCCGGAAGTTTGCAGCAGGCCATCATCTGAATGCGATCGAAGAGAAGTTTCCCAATCCACTGGCGTCTGCTGGGCTTGGGGACGGAGCTGCCAAATAAAATGCCCAGGCCCATCAAGAAGGACGAGATCATCTCAACAAATTCGTTCCGGTCGAAAGTCTCTGAATCATCCTCATCAAAGACCCCCAGAATGAAGCGGATCTTCTGTTTCTTCGCAATTTTCGTGGCAATGAGGATAGACGAGGTCAGAACAGCCGCAGGACTGATTTTGACATTCTGGTAAGCCATCTTGGACTTCGTTGCTTCGAGTTGGGAGAAAGCCGGAGGGTCGAAGACTTTGACCCACTTGAGGGCCTTCGTCATAGGAGTGGCAATAAAGTCTCGGAACGCGTAGGCATCCATGAACTTCGGCGCACTCCCCGGGTTCCAGCCTCCGGCAGCTTGCCATCGATTGAAGAGCTCAATCCAGTGGCTTATTGAGCGGCCCGATGTGGACAAACATATCTCTGGTGGCGAAGCTTCCAGCACTGGGAGCCAAAACTCCTCCATCCAGCCACACTCCGGCTCCTCATCGAGGATGTTGGCCATCACATCTGCCATTGAGTCCTCCGCAAAGGAGAAACTTCGGGGAGCCATGAGTGGGGGCCGCTGATCCAGAAGTGGAAGTGGCAAGTTTTCAGCCTTCGCTTCCTGTCTGGGAGTCGACGCTTTTGTTGACGACGGGGATGGAATTTCTTGACTCTGCGTCCGCGGCGTACGGCAGCCAATGCTCTTGGAGGGGCGGGTACGGTGTGAATCTGACTTCCCTTCACCGAGTTGCCAGCTCTGCGTCTCTGAGAACTGTGTAGGACGCCCTCGTGCTGACTTGACATTCGGAGGTAGCTCGTAATCCTCACTGTCACTTGCGTTGTTGGCCGAGTTCTCCCTGTTCCCTCCAGTCGGAGCTAGGGGCAGCACACTCGGCCGTTTCCGAGGGGACGAAGAAGCACTTGGACGGCGAAGCCGAGGGGGAGGAATAGGAAGGCCAAGATGCCAAGACTGTGTGCCGTCGCCGTGGATGGGCTCTGAGGCTCGACGACGTGCCTGTGGTCTTCCCGTAGTATGCATTGACAACTTCCCTGGCTGAAACGATTTCAGATCCTCACTCGTCAGCCCGAGGTCACTGACGTCGCTGTCGGTGACCACACTTGACGCTCTCATTTTGGATGGGCTGTGTCCGGTCCATGCCTCCTGACATACCGGTGGGGAACCTGCATCCGGCTTTCCCGCCTTTCCTCGCAAGGCAGGCAGAAGTCTCGCCATGACGGAAAATCTTGCAGCAAGTTGAGTCAAAACACTTGAGCCCAAATGCAGGTTCAGCGGGCGAGGTGCTCTGCATTACCCTCCGCCCTCGTCTAGACGAATTTTGTCGCATAGTGTCCTCTGCTTTCAATCTTATCGCCGCGAGCCTGAACCCCCTCGCGCTCAACGATTTGCTCGCCGCCTGAACAAAAGAAGCTTCTGCCGCCGGTCATCCTTTCCTCCAGAGCAAAGCTACTTTCCCGCCAGCCTGAAAGTTAATTCAACCGTACCCTTCGCCCACCAGCTGCCGCGACCCTTACTGAGCCTCGGCCCTTAAAGGCATACAGTCCAGCGGCAGCAGAAGCAGGGAGCTAATGCTTCTTGTGCGACCTTGCCAAATCGCCTCTACGAAGCTCAAATTTCATTGAAATCGCGAGGGTGCCAAAACCTCTGACTCTAGTGCCGCCCTGAGCAAGATATGTCGTGCCACTGAACCAATCCCTGCAACGGAAGGATTTCCTGCCGAGTGGTTCGGCATGCTCCGCGACGTGATTCAGCATTGATTCTGCAGCACGCAAATGAGCATGTGCTAGCAGTGCCTGTTTCTCAACACTTAGTTCGTGCAAAGTCTGCTCGGATTTACTCCGCAAGCTCCTGGCCTCATGGCATTAGCAGAATTCATCCAGATATCCCGAGATGGACAGCCCATGATGGGACATCGATGAAGCCTTCGCTCATTGCATGTGTCGGCCCTGCGTCCCCTGTCTTCCATGCGAATGGGGCACCGCGCCACCTATCTTCTTGACGAGGACCGCGTTGCCCATCAAGGCCACGTAGCCCACGAGCCTTGCTACTGCTACTGATACCTCTTCTGCATTCACCCCTTGACACTGAAAAAGGTGGACTTCGTATCTCGGACATGTTCTTGCCGCATGTCAAACACAGTAGCCGCCATTCAAGCGATGACCTATCGTACTCAAATCAACCTGTCTCCAGTTCCAAGACTTTGAGGGATGTGTCGTAAGACCTATGTAGGCTAGCCTGTGACAGCCGGAAAACTCCATCTCGGACCTTGTTGGACCTTGCCACATGGCAGCCGACCACATTCGACAAGGGATCAAGTCCAGGCTCTGCAAAAGTGTATAGGCCTGGATTCAGGCATGTCCTAACAGACAAGTGCAGCAAAGAGGCATCGCAGCAGGATGGTACCAAAACCATACGGGCCAGCTTGGAGTGACCGCCTGGCCGTCCGAAACACAGCAGTATGAAAGCTGACAGGACAGCCCCAAAGTCGACTCCGGCACAGGGGGCGGGAATTACCTGAGCTGCCCTAGAAACTGCCGCTGATGACGACAAGGAAGAGATGGGAGAGAGCTGAAGAGCCGACTGCAGCCTGCAGCAGCTGTCCTGACTCTGGGGCTCCGTGCAGCGGCCGCAGTCACGGCGAAGAGCACCAGAGCTGGGCCCCAAACTTTGAGCCTGACAGCTCAGGAACCGCAGCGCGATGGACTCAGCGATGGAACATGGATCTCAGGAGTATAGACGATAAGAACACAAGCAGCAGTGAGTAATTACTTGTCACACATTGCATCTATCTACGTCTGAGTGCGTTGGCTCCCGGAAAGTGTAGTAGTTTGCCTCCAAAGCTGAAGAGAAGCCGTCAGAGCTGAAAGCTCGAGCTGTTTGAGTGGTGTCTGGCAGCAGTGGCATTCTATTACGGCTGCCCACAAGCTGACCAGACATACGTGCTTGGGCAAGAAGCGAAACTCATCAGGTTCGACCGAGAGCTAGGTCCGCATTGATGACGGCAATCGTCACTGACTGTGTGCCAGCACAGGCTTCTAAGAAGGCTAGCGTCCCTGAGCTCTAATTGTATGCAGTTGCTGTGAGAAATGCCTGGAACCTTTGTCCGGCACTGCGGTGCGCTGCACACGTCTCATCTCTAAATCCTTAAGCCAACTCCATATTTCATCCCAGCCCGTACTCAATTAGCTGACACTCCTCTAGTTTGCTTCCATCCAGCTGGCCTCGTCCAAGGCACAGTCATGCATTGCGACAGAAATCCTGCACTCCTTGCACGCACGAAGGCAGCATACGTCGCAAGCTCGACATTATGAACACATCTCCCCAAATCGCAGAAGGCCCCGCACACACCAACTCAATCATGCCACACACCGCAGGCACGACAACGGTGCCTAGACTTGCCCAAAGTTCTTTACAAGTCTGTAATGAGTTCTTTACAAGTCTGTAATGAAATTTTCGAATAAAAACACTATGACAATACATTTATCATGATGCCGCACCGTTCCCCATTCCATTGACATGATCAAGAAATGACCGAGTCTTCAACCTATGCCCAAGCGTCCACGCAAGGCTGCTCGGTGTCTGCAAGTCACTTTCAGGACCAACATCATAATATACCAGTGAGCTGTGGGTAAGTATCACTGCGAACTTCACTTGTCGGCTCTCTGTCCTTCCGCTGCCCACACCTTTGGCGGCTTCCTCCGGGTTGTCTTGGCTTGAGCTCTCTTGGAATTGGCGGAATCCGAAAAGGAGCGATTATGATGGGTCTGGACTTCCAAAGCCAGTGGATCAGTGCGTGTGCGGACTTGGACCGCCAAGTGATCTCTGCCACCTGCACTGCCCCACTTGTCGCATTCGGGCACGACAAAGGCTTATGCTACTTGCCTTGCTTCCCAACTAGTCTCGAAGGCATGAGCTCCTCTTATTTCTGCCACTGTTTCAAGGACCAGGGTAGAAACAGGGCCGTTGCTGCTTGACAGAATTTCAATGAGGACAGGTCTCTTCCACGACCGTTCAGACTTTGATCGGTATTGCTTCTAAGGTAGCTTGTGGGGTGCATGTCTTTTCCAGTCGACTTGATGAATCATCGGCAATTCAGCCAGGTCTGTCGGCCTGCGATGCCATAGCTGCAGTAGATGCTGTAATCTCAATCTGAAGTTCAATGGTTGTCTTACCCATGCAGCAGTGCTAACACCTAGAGAGGTTGCGAACTTGGAGTTGGCTGTAGCGGTGATAGTCAGCGACTTCTTGCAGTCCAGGACTACGGCGCCCGGAGCCTGAAACATCTGCAGCATCCGGCTATTGTCAGAAAGCCTCACCAAAAAGCGTCGAGACCGAGTGCAAAAGGAAACCAGAGGGAAATCGAGAGGCATAGTGACGGCCCGAAGCAACAAGAACTGGTTTGGACTTTTAGGGGAATATGACTACAGCATGTATTCCGACCACTAGAGCGTCCGCTCCCGGCTCTGTTTCCTTGCTTCTATGGGGGATCTGCTCGGATCTTCATATCCGTACAACTCCTCAGCTCAGAAACCAAGCACTACCGACCACATACAGTGAGAATGGCACCCTTGATTTCACCGCCGGCAGTTGCGGTCACTCTTGCCAAGCCCCGGAATGGCCAAGACCGAGTCAGTCCTGCGGGAATTGTCTCGAGCTGCCGGCGAGAAAACCACAGATCCGCACTGACCCCCCCCCCCGTTATCAAGTTGCATGTCACTGCGTCGCACAGAAGGCCCTTTGTGTGATACATGACAAATAGAAGCACTTTCGTAGCTGGGGTCCGAACGGAACCACAACAGCAACTAACAACCAAGATCATTATCGCCTTGTTTCGCACCTTCTCGTTAGCGCTGGGGCTATCTTCTAGCGCGTGTTCGGCCCGTATTTCATGGTCTTCTGTTGGATGGCAAATTGCTGGCTAAGGGCTGGACTTACATCTTGCTGGTGGTTTTTGAACTGCTATGCGGGCTCTGTTTATAAAAGATCCAGATCCAGATGAATAAGGGGTAGTTTCCCTTTTTGGTCAGGATCGCCTCATCGAGAAATGCATTTCGAATGGCCCCTGCGTTTAGAGCGAGGGCCTTCAGAAAAACGGACCCGAACTGCAGGCACCCCTTCTCGACTCATCTTAGTATAGTAGCCATTTAAAAGTTCAACCCGGACCTTGGGAAAGCCCTTCTGCGCACAAACGGGTTTGGTTCCCAAAGGCTTCGCAAATGTGACTGTGGCGTTCGTGCAAGACAGTCTTCGACACCGATCGCAGGTAGACTTGTCTTGCCCGTACGATCCTAGATCAATGAGGTCCCCATCATCGTCATCACCAACATCATCTGCATCTCCAGAGATGACTCTTAGCTGAATCCACCCCCGAACTGAAAGGAACCCCATATCCTAAACATGTGCTCCAAGCCTTAAGCCGTGAACTGTGAGGTGATAATCACAGGACCTTCGACCAACGCCGCTTCATCTGCCTCCACGGGTGAGAGCGACTCACACTTATGTGGCAACTTAGTGGGCGTCGAGAGCCTTACCTAGAGATCTTGGGGTTGAGTAGCTTGTTTGTAGAGGCCAAGCATTTTGGGTTCGGCCCTGGCAGCCAGAGCAGCTGAGACTCCGACTGAGCAATTCCCCGAGATTTCCGTCTTGCCATGAATTCTTCATTCTGGTGTTGAGCTTGGTTCTGTTGCTGGTATGACTTTCAAGACATTCACTTCGCTCCCTACAGCATAAGGCTGCAAGGGCCAAATAGCACCCTTACAGTAAGCCTTGCGGTACCCTTATGCTTAGCCCTATAGTGCCCGCATAAAAATCGTTATCGTACAGCCTCATACCTGCAAGGGCGAAGCCTGCTTCAGCGAGCATGCCAACCGGCTGCAGCTGGCCTTCCAAGGCCAAACGCAGAGATCATGGCAGATCTCCGAGAAAGTGTACCGGTTTTTGGTTTAGGGTTAAACTCTCCGAAGAGGAGCCTGTCTACCCCGAACCCTAGACCTTCTTGAAGAAGTGCGGCTTTGTGGTTCCAGGGCAACCCGTAGCCTTCATCGACGCGACACATCTTTGCAAAAAAGCTTTGGCATCGAAAGTCGCACACAAAGAGAAACAAAAGGGGTTACAGGGCTTAGGGGGGAACCTAGCCTAGCCCGGCCTGGGGGGATCCAAGCAAATTTGGCCCAAACCTTCGACTTAGACCCTAAACCTAACCAACCGCCGATCCCAAACCCCCAAACTCTAAACACCACCTCCACCAGGGCGAGCTCCACTACCCGTCGGCATTCCAGATCGGGCCTGAAAGCTCGAGGCCTAACTACCCTAACAACTATAGCGGCTTGACTAGTATCAACAGCAGTAGTAATAGCAGTAGAATAGTAGTCGTGGTGGTGGTGGCAGTAGTAGTAGTCGTCGTCGTGGTGGTGGTGGTAGTAGTAGTAGTAGGAGGAGGAGGAGTAGTAGTAGTAGGAGGAGTAGTAGTAGTAGGAGGAGTAGTAGTAGTAGGAGGAGTAGTAGTAGTAGTAGTA